CCCAAAACCCCAAAACCCCAAAACCCCAAAACCCCAAAACCCCTTATGACTTTACATCCATTGAAAATTATTAAAAATGAAAGAATTATTGAGCAGAGTTTGACTCTAACTCTCTTAAGTATCTTTCAGGAACAGCTCACACAAAGTGCTTGGAGTCCTGGTCGTAATAAGATAAGAGATCAAGCAGCTTAGACTTAGAGTATGATAGGTTAGTCCTAGCCTTCTGTTGCTTAAATAAAATTGAAACTATATCATAGACAAGGGCTCCTTCCTCTTCGGTTTCATAGCATCCGATATAAGTTTTGACTTTGTTGATCATCATAAGGACTTGCCAGCTGGCTCCATTTCGAGAGACTCCTCTGTAACCAGACCTTCTCTTAGTTCTTCTATCATGCTTGAAGTAATTAGCCTTCTTCTTACTAGCGATGAAATCATAGTTATCATCAGTGATGGTATCTAGGAATGAATGCAGCTCAGAGAACTTCCTGTGAAAAATTCCTTCCTCAACTCCTTTGACCTCTTTCCTCTCTTTCTTTGAGGATGAATCAGTGACTTCCTTATCAGCAGTAAGCTGGGAGCTCTCTGTACTACTCTTTCTGCATTTGGTACCCTCCTTTGGAAGAGAGGCCAACTTTGGCAATTCAGGACATTCAGGTTGGAGCTTATTAGATTCTATAAGGAAAAATGGTATACAAGAGCTCTAGAGTACCTCAAAAGGTATGAAACACCAAAAGATACAAGCCTTAGTTCACAATCGATACATTTGTAGGTAAATTATCTTTATTTGATAAAAGGGAATTGAAGATATGCCATGAAAGAGCTATATCAAGAAGAATTTCACGAACTTAAAATAGGAAACTTCAGACCATATTTTGCCAAAATCTCGGGAAGTCTGGTTGCATCAAGAGATTTTGGGGAAGAACAATACTTGTTTCTAGCAAAGCTTTAATAATGTGTGAAAACTTGAACAAAGTCTTGAGATGTATAATTTCAAATTTACTGTAAACTCAAATGAGTCACTTACCTCCAAAGAGGAAAAGTTTGATATCGTTCCCGATAGATACAAGGTTGGAATCTTCTTCGCAGAGCCCATGTGGGCCCTCTAGGTCTGGAAACCCTGCACACTTTGGGACTGGGAGGATCCTAGCAGGAAACACTCCTGGTAGAACTGGCCTTTCAGTGTTAAAAATATTCATGTTTTGTAAAATTTTTATTAAAAATCCTTAGAAATCTTTTCTTTTATACTGATCTCAGAAATCGTTCGAAACTTACGTTCGGTACAAGGACAAGAATGAATTCAAATTATAGATTTAGTTTCTGTGCTGAGCCTAACAAGCCTAACGAATTATCTGTAGTGCATTAAGCACAGTTCTTATTGCCAATGAATTTACATCGTTGAATTTCCAATAGTTTAGATACAACATTCTTAGTGTTTCTTCCGAAAACGTGGTTATAGATTTTTGAATCAAACTTTTCCTTTTTGACCACTAATAAAAATTGGGACAAAGTGGATCCTGAAATCAGAAATCTGTCCTCACCTAGAAGTCAATGAATATGAACACAATTCGCTTCTCTAAGGAGGAGTGCAAAGATCTCTGATAATAATAACAAGCTTGGAGTATTTACCTAGCCAAAGGTCATGTTGGTAATAGGTCCTAAATTTAGATTATAAACGCTATGAATTTTAACCAAGAAATATTAACCTTGTTCGTGTAATTTCTAAGAGATGGATTATCATGCCATAGCAGTCATATGAGCATTGAGAGACAACCTAGAGGACCTGGCTTTAAATTTAACTTGAAACTTTACTTAAAAGTTTCCAATCTAAGCTCATTTGAGAGCAGTTGTAACTAACGTTTCAAGATTTACTTCTTAAGAAAGATTCACTAGATTGAAATATGAAGGTGAAATATTGCTTAGTTGAAAAAGTAGGCTTCGAAAGACATTTGGGAACTTCTTTGGGACAGAAAGGCTCCAGGACTTGAGAAGCTAAAATATTAGCGTGTATTTTGTTTGAGTTGTTTTGGGAATTTAAAGTAAAACTACCTCTCTTGTACCAACTATTATCTAACACAAGATAGATTTCCCTCTGTCTTCAAGAGAAATATTAGCTAAAACTCTATTTTTGTTGACCATGCCCAATTAATTTGAGAAATAGTGCTTTATGATTCTTATCTTTGGTCTAACTAGCATTTTAGACTTGCCAGAAAAGTCTTCATTAACTCTTTCTAAGCCGTCACTGAAGGGCCTTATGCCTCAACAGAGCTATAATGATATCTGTATGTTGCAATAACCTCATACAAAGCTCTTCTACTTTCCTCATCCCAATTGGATAAAATGGGCAAAAGACCTTTTCTTTTCTAAGATCTCACGTGATATATGCAGGAATATTTGCAAATATTTTACCCGAAATCACAGATTTCAGGAATTTTATCTGCAATGATAATTTGACGCTCAAATCTTCTCAAAGGTATGCCAGTTATTTGACAGGCCCAAGGCCAACAAAATGGCTCTAGATACGATACTTACTAGAGTTTTATCCTAAATCCTTCGTTTTCATCCTTTGCTTAATTACAAGAATACTCTGGGCTGTCAGGCTGAAAATAAGTTCTTGTACGATTTTGAGATCGAAGTGAAATGATCATTTCGAGTCTTGTAGAACTCTGAAGAAGGGGAGACAGCAAGTGAATGACATACCAATCCTTTCCCTATTAATTATCTTCTTTAAAATATATAAAGGGGAAGCTGACATGTTATGCGAGAGATTATAGCCCATTTATCATCTACTGAACTTACGTGGCAGAGATACATTCTGACATAATATAACTCTTGACACTTTGAATAGTCTAAGAGTTATAAAGAGGGAATCGGGCCTAATGGCAGCTCTAAAGACTATCTTCATCAAAATTTCCGAAAAATCTATTAATTTCTATTCATGCTAAGGTAGCATCTTTGTTTGGATTATTAAGTTCCAGAAGCTAAATTCCAGTATTGCCTTTACTTTAAAGTTTTGGTTAAAATGGTTGAGATTGGGTACAAATCTCTGCTTCAAAGTTTTAGAGAGATTATGCCTTTGACATGGTTGAAAAGTTATCATTCGCTTTTTCAGCCCAATGGGCTGAAAAGTGGGTTGACAAACAGCATCCTTACATTTTGCCTAAAATCTTGTGACTTTTTAAGTTGGGCCAAAGTTACGATAAAAATTAAAAAATTGCGTCATGCCTCATATCTTATCAGAGCTAGTGTTAAAGAAAATCTACCACAACAGTTAGATGGACTGTAAATGTGAACTAGGCAGGTTAAGGGATTAAATGTTTAGTTACAATTTTTCTCGACAAGATATGAGCGGTGAGGAGACACAATTCGCAACAAAAATACTTTTAGTAAATTCAAAATTCTTGGTTAAACCTTCAACCAAAAGTATACCATATGGGGTTTTGGGGTTTTGGGGTTTTGGGGG